TCAGGTGGGGTCTATGTAGCAGGCTAAGGGAAGGAGCCACTAGACGAAAGACTCATGGGCCTGTTCACTTGACATTCATGTATTAATTTACAGTTATCTTGCACTAATCTATCATTGTTATTGTTCATGTATAACGTTATTGCAGCTGTTTGTTCTGTATTGAGTGTGGCCAGCAATGGGCACCATAACTGAGGCTGCTGTACTCGTTAATGACCTCTGACGACCTCTGTTCTGTTCGGGGGTTCATCCACTCATCCATCTTCTTCCACTTATCTGGAGCAGGGTTGGGGGGTCAGCAGTTGAACAACAAGGTGCTCCCAGGCCAGCTGAGAGATATAATCTCTCAAGTGTGTCCTGGGTCCTGGGTCTGCCCCGGGGCCTCCTCCCTGGGACATGCCCAGAATACCTCACTCAAGAGGCTCCCAGGAGGCATCCTTGTCAGATGCCCGAACCACCTCAGCTGGCTCCTTTCGGTGTGGAGGAGCAGCGGCTCTACTCTGAGCCCCTCCTGGATGGCCAAACTTCTTACCGTATCTCTAAGGGAGATCTCTAAGCTGCATTCCTGTAGCTAAGCGATGTATGTGTGAGGGGCTGCTAGCCCAGCTATGTAGGGGTAGAGGGGCGCACAGGCTGCCTTGAACGACTAGCGGGTGGTGGGATCTAAGTCCGTAACCCCCTCTAGCACAATTGACCCGGACACTTACTTCTGTAAGAATGGGGTTAGTTACCTGGCAACAGTAGGCACAAAAGGAAGACTCCAGGCCCGGACCTGCAGTGATAGCAGCGCCTGCCCACGGAATACTAGCACGATCCCACTTAACTCCGTCGTCCTGTGCCTAACCAAATAACTCGGGTGCCCCTACTCCAAGGCAACCTGAGTCGGACAAAAGCATTCAACAACGACTTTTTAAACAACGTGGCTCCTTTTATTTGTCTGGAGAGCCCTCAAAAAACCCCAAACTTGGTTAACAATGTCCACAGGGCCCTGGAGAGCAAAGGGAAAACAGCAAAGAACCTCCCCAGGACCAAAGAAATGAAAGAAATAAAATGAGGTAAAATAAATCAAAACAGACTGGTGAGACCCAGTGTTGGGAGTCCTCGACTCCGCACAACCCACCCTAGTCACAGGAAAAACACTCACAACACAGCAGAACAGTAAAAGTTAATACAGCAACTATCCTGTCTAAAATGGTTGACACAGTCTCATCGCATCATTTACAATGTCTGACACACCAAAGGAACATTTCCAGTCTTTACAGTTTAATCCAGTCAATTGTCTCTGGGGTGGGACAGACAGATAGTTCTAGGGGTAAGTGTCGTTAACCGGAGTTACGGTCTGCTAGGCTGTCCAGAACTTCCACAGCCGGAATAGAATGTCCATTCTCCGGTCCACAACAAAACAAGTAAATAAAACACAGAAACTGAACCTTTGCCCCTCCTGAAATGGAGCGTAATGAACCCACGGGTAGGTGAAGCTTTTACATACAGCCAGCTGAAGCAGGGTGAACAACCGGAGCGTCGTCTGGGTGGCAGGGTACTCCAAACACCGCCGACGTCGGGGCCCAAGATGGCGGTCCTGCGGGCTATCGGAGCTACGGCAGTCCCCAGGCCGTGCGAAGCGAGGCCGCCCAATTCCTCTCCCGGAAACTCGCTGGTCCTCCGCCAGACAGCCAGCCGTGCTGTCTCGCTTTCTAAACGTTCTTCGCCGCCAAACCCTACCGGTAACGCCGGGAAACTGAGGCAGATTGGAGGGAGCGGCCGCTAGCCTTAGCTCTCGATTAGCCCCTCTGCTAGCGCTATCTCCGCCGACACTTCGCCCCGACGTTACACGCGTAAGGCCGCTGTAGCCGGAGTCAGAGTGCATACACGGACGGAAACCCAGCCTAGACTCGCTGCGGTACCGTATACTGTCTCGCTAACCTCCCGTTTATACTTTGTTCGGGTCTCTCCCTGACCGCGGCGCTTTCCTAGCGTCTTCTCTCATCCGGACACGAGTGCTTTGTTTTGCTCCGCTCGTCTTTGCTCTCACTGCGCATGCCCGTCCTCTTCACGCTACGTCACTCCCTCTTGGCTGCTTCAGGCTGTAAACAACCCCGTGACCGTTTTCTAAGGGTCGTAAATATGTGCCCTCACATTTGGAACACAGGAACTGCAGGTCAAAATAGAAATCTCTGTCTCCTACTGTGCTTAAGTTTGCCATAGTATGTTGCAAACTGTCCGAGTGTGTTTGGGAACAGAAAGATTATTTTATTGCATAAAATAGTGCTGCTCGGTACCCCTGGTCAGAGGGTTTCTGTCCGTCCGGTGAGCCACCTGTCACCTGGCTCAAATAGACTAGCCACACAGTCCTCATTTGTAAAGTGCTTTACAAACCTTAACATTAGGGCAAACCGCTAATTTGCCTGTTTGACTGCAGCTAGCGAAACAGCGAACAGCCACTTTCTGCTAAAGAGACAGACAGTGAAGTGGACAGTATATCCTCAGTTTAACATAAACTCATTGTTGCAGCACTGATGTGATCCCCTTACATTGTTTTTTAGTTTTAATCTCCTTATTTTCCTCTGAGTTATAGATCCTGCCACTAGTTAGCTAACATAAACGAATGTAAGTCTATTAGCCACAGCCAACCAACCATATGACGTAACCATATGACAGAAGACAGCGCTAAACATGTTTTCAAAATTTTGACTTGAAGCTCTTATTTGTGAAAGCAGTCCTCAGTGCGTTAAATTAGCCTTTATATGTGAAGCGTTTCATGTCTCTCTGCTCACCCAAACCACTGATGAAACACTGTCTGACTGGTCAGTAGGTCCTGTAATATTAGTATAAAGACAAACAAACAAATGGCTAATTAAGTTCAGCTGAGGTTAGATTTGTATTGTTGATTGTCATTTATGCTTAGAAATATCTACTTATATATGCTTAGAGTTTTGTAATTAGTTGTAGATTGGTAGAGGTTTTGATCCTTGATAGTCTGCAAACCTTGTGTGTATTAGAGAGCACTCTGGGAGTACGAGAGAGGTCTTACCTTGTCTTATTGTTTTATGGTAGGATTAACGTAGCTATGTCTGTTCTAGTCTAAGTGCTTTTTCGTTTAGATGAACTGCTGGACTTCCTCACCGGGGGGGGGGTCTACCCTCTTCCTGACCAAGGATGTTTGACCCTTTGATCAGCAGTAACACACACACACACACACACACACACACACTCACACACACAGGCAAGGTACTCTTTGTGTGTATGTAGGCGTCATATGTTAATGAACCTATGCATATTCATGTAACCACAATAAAAGGAGTGCTATGGGGAGCCTGGCTGAGAGTCTGATGGAGGTCAGGTGGTGGGACGATACTTGGCTCCAGCCAGATCTCCCTCATGCATGAGTAAACATGAAGAACCTTGCCTACTTGTGTCTTGCTTTGCAGTGTAATTATATTGTCTTCAACGTTCCAGCGGATGGGTTCAAGCTACAAACCTATCAGCTGAGTTAGCTGAGCTGTGTGAATCTGGCAACACTTAATTTGCAACATTATCTGATAAAGTAACAACCCCCATGAGTGATTTCAACAGGCGGTATTTTTGAGAAGTATTGGACATAGGAGCTTGTAGTAAATTTGAAAATATATTGGTGGATATACAGTTTCCCATACAAAACCTACAATTCACATATGCCATGTGGAAGCATGGCTTATGGTCATCCAACAGGCAAACTATACCTGTGAGCATGTCTGGAGTCAATGAGCCACTACTGTTGTTATGAAACTCACAAATCCTGTCTTACTAACAGTATGTGTTTCAATTCCTACCAAGAAAGGCTGCAGAATTGAAGCATTTTGAAATCAGATAATTCTTTTTGATACATCCTTTATTTTGCACCATTTAGTAGGTTGCAGTTCAGCCATAGCAGCAGATTAGTTTTTGCTAAGTGCCAAAAGAAAGAGCTTGAGGTAAGTTTTAATTCTCAAATACAAGAAAGGTCCCTCCATCAATTAAATGCACTACTGATGTCAATCTATTTGTGCTGACATCGGTCATTTATGGCGAAGTTGCTAACTATTCAATATAGCAGCCAGCTGGTTGACCTTAGTGCGCCTTAATGTTAAAGTTATCTCTAGATGCCGGAGTCTTTTTTTCCGTTTTTATCCTTATGAAGCAATTGTATTGAACTCGCTAACATGGCAACATTATTAAACATTTTCCTTCAGATTCTCACAATACACACACATACACATGTCTGTGAAGGTTCTTAGTCATCCAGGTCATCGTAGTCAAAGGAGCTTGCAAAGAAAGGCGTCTGGACTTCTTTAAGTTACTTGAAGACGTTTCACCTCTCATCCGAGAAGCTTCTTCAGTTCTAAGGTCAAATGGTGGAGAGTCTCACATATAAACCTAGTGGGAGTAACCCCCCACAGAGGGACAAAAGGACCCCCTGATGATCCTCTAATTGCCTGAGCCAAGGTGTGAAACTGGGTGTGGGCCCCAATCAGCCAGAGTTTCAGCCAATCAGCCACATACACATGCATACGCACATACATACGCACTAACATTCCTCTGTCTATGAACAGACGTATTCACTATTGTATTACTTTTGTGTATAAAGACAAGTGCAAGAACAGAGCGCACATCACAGGGCCCCCACTCTGGTGCGAGCGCTCTGTGACCGCCCTTGCAAGTAAAAACTGCAGCGTGTGTGTTTCTACTCTCCGACTCTCAGCTGAAGAAGTGTCTTTAGAAAAAATCTCATGACAGACTGTTAAAGACAACCAAGAAAGTGAGAGAGAGTCTATTTTTTGAGTTAAACTACAAAACAATTCAGACTATTTAAGACAATTTAAAAGCATTTAATACATCAAAATCACTATTTAGTTCATTTTCAGAAAGGTTAAGCAGTTCTAGCTCTGTAGCTTCAATATTTTGATGGTCAAGATGAAAAAAAACTTTATAGGGAAGTTATGAAATTATTTTCATAACTTAGTGTGGAAGCTACACAGTGTACCAACTTGAGCGTTTCCAGTCTACATTCTGGGTCTTCCAGTCGCTCCAACAGCAGTTTCACGCCTGACAAGCCTGGATGGTTGTAGCTCAGGTCCAGCTCTCTCAGGTGGGAGGGGTTGGACTTCAGAGCTGAGGCCAGAAAGACACAACTTTCCTCTGTGATCCCACAACATGACAGCCTGGAGAGAAAATAGCTCTTACTAAAGCATAGCGGCTGAAGCAACTTTGAACTTGTTTTGCCCATGCAAAAACAAGTATTGATAAAAATAAACTACATTCTTATTATTTTCTTTGGTTTAAACATAAGAGCATAATAATAATAATAATAATAACAATAATAATAATAATGTCCTGCTGTTTAACTAATTGGTGTGTGTTATCTGGCTTCATGGATAGATAGAGTTGGGTATCCTCAATGGTCTTTCAACAGTTTGAACTTCTGACACTTAGGGAAATAATAGGCCAACTGAAAAACTCTAATTCTCGTCATGATGTGCTTCCCTCTCGCATTATCAATAATGCCCTGAACACTATTGGAGCCTGCATCTTCTTCTAATGAATTCCTCACTCTTATCAGGCTGCGTCCCTACTGCTTTCAAACATGCAATGGTGTAACCTGTTATCAAGAAAAGTAATCTCGATCCTTTCAAACTACAGACCGGTCTCTAAACTTCCTTTTATGTCTAAAATCTTAGAAAAACTATTTCTTAAGCAATTACAATCCTTCTTGGAGACTAATGGAATCAAGGAAAAATTCCAGTCCGGTTTCAAATCTCACCACAGCACAGAAACAGCTCTACTGAGAGTTTTTAATGATCTCCTTGTAACTGCTGATGCAGGGCGTCCTGTGGTTTTAGTTCTACTAGACTTGACTTCTGCCTTTGATACTGTTGACCTCAACATCCTCCTTTCAAGGCTAGAACATGTAGTTGGCCTTAAAGGCAAATTGTTTTCATGGTTCAAATCATATTTATCCGAGAGGACTTTCTCTGTCTCTATGGCCAATTATTCTTCCTCATTCGCACCCCTCTGCTGTGGTGTGCCCCATGGGGTCTGTGTTAAGTAGTTGAATGGGACCATACCGGTCCTTGAGGATCAGGAGTGTCTGGCTTTGGTTAGCCATCTCTCGTGGACTAGCAGCTGGTTCATTTGTGCTGCCAGATGCTCATGAAGTGCAGTCAGCTTCTTCAGCCAGTAGGCGTGAACCATGTCAGAGCCTGGTGCTGTCCAACTCTTCATACTCGAGACCCTTTCATGGATGTCTGCCACTGTGATGGTTATTGGTAACTGTTCCCATATGCTCTTCCACCATTTCAGAAATTTGTGGGTGTGTTTTTTTTGTTTGTTTGGCTGGTTTTTTTGTACTACTTGAACACTAAAGTGCCCCTCAAATGAGATGACAGTGCCAGCTGTTGCCCAGAGCACATTTAAGTTTGTAATCGAATCCTGGCTCCATCGGCAAATCCCCAATGCCTGGGTGGAGCTACTGGGCAAAACATTACACCGTCAGGACTTCAGTAATGACTCTGATGAGGGAACAGGCGGTGGGCTCTGTGCTATTTATTTATTCGGGCATGTGTGTGAATTGCAGAGTGAGTAGAGGTGAGCTGCCGATTATTTTGGGAAGTTTTGTTTTCTCCTGTGTTGTTAGACCAGGGATGTTAGACTTTGTCATTTCTTTTGTTGCTTTCTTGAAGAGGTCAAAGGGGGACCGAAGTTTAGATTTGGGTTTTGTTTGTTGTGTTGGCCTTGGCTCACCCTGAAGCCGTACACTCCCTCTATCGTTGTTCTGAATGCCATTCGTGTAAATAAAAAGCCCGATGCTATGGCTGTGACTGTTTGAGCATGGGGAGTTGCAGGACACCCTCCTCTTGTTACGGTCGTTCCGAGCCAGGTCATAACAAGGGGCTTTAAACAAGCCAACAAGGTCTGATATTTAAAAAAATCTTTACCTAAATGAGTATTATGCTTTTCTGAACAAGCTGTATCAAGAATTATTTGCTTACTTTTAGATTTTACAACTTGATTTAGAATTTAACTCTCTTTGAAGTGGCAGCCCAGTGGGGTTAGGTTGCAACCACTGGGCTGCCACTTCAAAGAGCTGGCTGGCATAAGCACATGGCGATTCCCATGCCCCATCTGTCTCTCCCGGAAATGCCAGCAATACTCGGCACAATGGTACAAACCATACAACTAGCCCAATGAGTGCGCCCTCCACCTCTCCACCGCAGCTGAGCCAAAACCACACCCCAAGCCAAATCAATCTCTGGTTGCTGGTACTGCTGCTTACGCCAGCTTTCTGTAACTTTTGCACCCCAGAAATTCTACAACAGAATGACTGAAAAGAAAATAATCAAGATGCTACAATGGTCAGACTGAAATACTGTATCGTGTCCTTAAGAGAACTGTGCATACAAAAATTCCTGCCAACCTCAATGAACTGAAGCATTGGTGTAAAGAAGGGTGTACCAAAATTACTTCAGAATGATGTGAGAGATGATAAATTAATACAGAAAATAGTTACCTAACGTTATTGCTGCTGAAAGTGGCTCTCCAAGCTAATGAATGAAGCCCCATTTAGTTTTGACACACTGCATCTGCACTTTGGTTCAATTAAAAAATGGGACAGTGTAATATGCCATGTGTTATTCATCCAGGTTGTTTTTTTTTATTATTAATAATGCAACAATACCTGCCACCCTGACGTGCTGGCCAGTAACAGGAGCACATTTAGGGAGAGTCTAAGATTACCCAAAAGCACTACTGAACGATAATTCCAGCCTGTGGATATCTCTGTACAAAGAATTGAGTGTGCATTTTCTTTTTTTACCATGACTATATGTGAACTACATTATGAGACCAGAGGGTGTATCAGTACCTCAGTGTTTCCAGCCTACATTTTGAACTCCCAAGTCCAGCAGAGAGCAGTTGCACACCTGAATCCTGTAAGTCATTGCAACTGAGGTCAAGCTGCCTCAACTGGGAGTTGGAGCTGAGAACTGAAGCAAACACCTGACAGCACTTATTTTTCAGGCAACAGCCAGGCATGCTGCAGAGAGAACAAAATCATCTGAACATCATATATGCAAGAGAGCAAAATGTGCAGATGGTCCCATCACTAATTGCATTTACCTGAACTGCTCCAGTCTGCAGACTGGACCGATCAAAGCAGAAGGAATCATAGTCAACAGAGTTAATTCATCAATGAAATCTTCATAGTTTTCATTTATTTTCAACTCTCTTGTATAATATCCACTGTAATCCTTTGGATAACTGTACATGCAGTTAGTGAAGCTCAGGACCTTCAGAGGTGATTGTTTTGATTGAAGGACTGAGGTCAGAATGTGACAATTCCTAAAGTCTAGAGAAAACCCAGATAACCTGTGCAAAACATATCAGGTATAAACAAAGGATACCAAGGATAATTTACTGCAATTCCGTTACTGGACATATTGTATCTCATGTTTTAACAATTTAACTAAAAAGCTTAGAGAAACAGTTATTTACACTGACCTCAGTATCTCCAGTTTACACTCAGGAAATCCCAGTACATTAATGAGAGCATAAGGAAAACCATCACTGACGTTAGAGTAACACACCAGGCACAACTCTCTTAAGCAAGAGTCTGCTGACTGAAGAATGGACAGTAGTACACCCAGGCGATCATTGCTTATATGCTCACTCTTAAGTCTGTTGAATCAGAAGAAAAGTGGAGAATGGCATGTCATGGTGGGTTTCTTATTTTCCTGGGCAATGAGAAAACATAAGTAGCAATGAACACTGTATTAGCTAACATTATTGTATAATAGTTATCATAACATGTATGCAGCAACCAGTACTATTGTTCAATTTCATATCAGGACTAACATAGGTTTAGGTATAACACACCAATCTCGCCTCTGTCAGTGCGCCCCAGGGCGGCTGTGGCTACAATGTAGCTTACCATCACCAGTGTGTGAATGACTGAATGTGTAAAGCGCTTTGGGGGTCCTTAGGGACTAGTAAAGCGCTATACAAATACAGGCCATTTACCAATCTGGACAAGACAGAAAAGGAAGTGGATGATCCAGTCGGTATACTCAGACTTAAGATCAACAGAAATGCCTAAACGTTCTTTGCACAAATCACACCATGCACTGTTGTGTTTTTGACACAATGTATATTTCACTAGCTGGGCCCACGTCCTAATTTTAGGTTTGAGTAGTAGTAGCGTTTTAGTAGGCAAAAGTGATGCTTTGACATGAATTGAGCTGCGGTTTGGGGAAGGCCTCGAGGGGGACTGGCGATGGCTCCTGGGCCTGGCAGATCCTCATGTACTAAATCGAAATGAAGAAGTTAGAAAATTGAGAACAAGGAGGGAGGGAGGGTGGGGCACGTAAACCAGAATGAACAGCTTGCAGAATGGGGGTAGCCTATATACTGTAGATGACAACCGGAAGGAGAGTGTTTGGAGGCGTGATCCTGCTCCTGACATTCCGATAGATAATCTCCAAAACATTTATATAATCCAAAATACTTCATTCACTTTAGTCAGTCAGTAAAAAGTTCAAAGTCAGCAGAGTATATTACAATTTACCAGATTTAATTAGGCCACTAGTATCTTCCAGATCCTCTCCCTGTTCCCTAGAAATCCCATTGTGACTACTTGCAGGTGCACATTTGCGTGCACACTTCATATAGCGTCTCTGATGTATCAAAATCGGAAACTTTCAACTAGATTATGTTTTGTTCTTCATATGTACTATCACTCACCAGTTAGCCACAGCTGGGCTCACTTAATCTTGGCTATTTGGCTAAATGAATTTTCTTCCCATTCTATCTAAACAAACTTTTATTTACCTACTAAATCGGAATATTTGCACTACTTACACAGCCTTCTTGCAGTTCTTCATTTGCTGGACAAGTTTCTCAGTCCCAATAATCGGTGTGACAGAATTTGTCAGATCAAGTTCCTCGAGCACTTCCCCTGATATCTGCATCATGGTCGACAGTACTGCACAGTCAATAGGTGAGAGTCTCGCTCCTGAATCCAGATACATTCTGATGTCATCCTGAAATCTCTCTTCCTTCAGCTCAAACTTGCAGAGGAAAAGGTTCATGTACCTCTCTCGTGGGATGTCTTTGACATGGAAATTCTTCAGGTATACCTTCATCTCTTCGGTGGTGTCCGAGCTGCTCTTTACCTGTGGCAGTAAACCCTGCAGCACTGTTTGATTGGACTCCAGAGAAAATCCAAGGAAGAAACACAGAAACAGATCTAACTGACCTTTCTCACTTTGCAAGGCTTTATCCACAACCTTTTTCTGCAAATCCAGAAAGCTCAGATCTGTCGGGTCGACACCCAGGAAAGACTTCAAAGTACTGAAGTTGTCCGTCAGGATGCAGTGGTGCATGTAGAGAGCTGCAAGAAACTCCTGAAAGCTTAAATGCACAAAGCTGAACATCTTCTTCTTGTACAGGCCTCGTTCTTCCTTAAGAATCTCTGAGCAAAATCCACAAAACACTGATGCTTCACCAACATCGATGCCACTTTCTGTGAGGTCCTCTTCATAGAATATGATGTTTCCTTTCTGCAGCTGTTCAAATGCCAACTTGGACAAGTTCAAAAGCATGGCAGAGTTCTGGGCTTGAGACTTCTTCTGTTTGGACCTCTTCTTGGAGCTTTTCCCTGCATATTTCTGTCTCGTTCTTTGTGTTTGAATTAGTAAGTAATAAATGTACAGCTCTGTCATCGTTGTGATGCCGCGGCTCCTCTCATCACTCCATCCTTTCCTAAACACCTCAGCGATGATCCAGCAAAACACTGGGATATGGCCCATGAAATAGAAGCTGATCATTCCTCTAAGACGAGACAGGATTTCTTCTGCCTGATTAGCAGTGCTGAATCTCTTCCTAAAGTATGACTCTTTTTGTTGCTCAGTGAAACCTTGGACTTCTGTCATCTGGTCAATGTATTTAGAAGGTATCTGACTGGCAGCTGCAGGTCTGGATGTTACCCAGAGCAGAGCGCAAGGCAGCAGGTTGCCTTGGATGAGGTTGGTCAGCAGCACATTGACTGTTGATCTTCGATCTATTTCACTTATTCTCACAGCTCCATCAAAGTCCAGTGGAAATCTGCTTTCATCCAAACCATCAAAGATGAACAGCACTTGCTTGTGAACAAGCTGCTGTGTAGCTTCTAGGGGTTTTATTTCAGGGTAGAAGTGAAGGAGAAGCTGCAGCAGACTGTAGTCGGCATCTCTGAGCATGTTCAGCTCTCTAAAGGGGAGCACAAAGATGAAATCAATGTGCTGGTTAGATTTTCCTTCTGCCCAGCTTAGAGCAAAGTTTTGGACAGCAAATGTCTTTCCAATGCCAGCGATGCCTTTCGTCATCACTCTTTGGATTGTCTTTTCTTTTGCTGGTTGTTGCTGAACATGAATTCTTCCTGGTTTAAAGATATTTAAGAAATCGATCTGTTGATAAAACACCTGTGAAATTGATGACTGCTGATCTGGGACATTAAAGTGATCTAGAATCTCATGTGATATGGAACCAGAATCCTGAGCCTGCTGAGTGACGTAGAGTTTTGTGTAGATGCTGTCAAGTCGAGACCGACTATCTGATGTGCCCTCATTTATCCAGGTAAACTTTTCCTGGAGATGGTCTTTAAGCTTTTGTTTAACACTCTCCACGACTTTATCCTGCTCCATGTTTGCAGCTCTGTCTCCTCCACACTGAACCTAGTTCTCCTGTCACTTGTTCTCCTTATAGGTGGAATCCTTCTGAAGGGATTAAAAACCTGAAAGCAAGAAAATAAATAAAATGTCCCTTTTCTTGTAGTATTACAGTGCAGTGATATTGATAAGCATTTGCTTTTTTTAATCTTTTTGTCTAAATTGATTTTCCATTTTTACATCCACACTCAACACTTTCGCACTACAAGTGAAGAAAATGATTTCAGACTAGGGCTGGGCGATATATCAAGTTTCTTAAAAATATCGATAAATTTTTATACGAGATATGAGATGTGACAATATCTTTTATATCGGTATAGTATATGTTACATCATAATTATACTTGTGGACCCACAAGTTTGCCTCTCTTTCGTCCACTTTTGTCTCTACGCAACGTTACTCGGCCTCGCCTCTCCTTCACTGAACACAACTCCCCCTCCTCCCCCATAGCTTCACCTGCAGGAAGCGACAAGATGGACACGGCAAATCTCCGTTAACGTGTTAGCGAGCTAACTGCGCTAACAAGCTAACCGCGCTAATGACATGTGGCCCACAGGGGCTGTGCAGCCTAAAATCCTTTAATTTTCTCAAAAGTTGACAGCGCGCCTTTCTGTATGAATTCTGGTTGTGCTTGATGACCGCGAAGCGAATTTATGTGGTACATGGCGCTCAGCAATCTGTCAAAAAATGTTTTAGTACGACTTTGGTAAACTACGGGGCTGCACCACTTGATGGATTGTCTGAGCATTGCTGCTACCATAGTCTGGAGCCTCGCGGAGTGATACGTAAAACTCCAGGCTGTCAGTCACGCAGTAGAACTTGGGAGCAGAGCAGCTGAGAAATCTGTCTTTGATATTATGCTCAGCATCTGTTAGTTTACATTTTGACTGCACAATTGTGAGCTTTTTGTTATGCACAAAAACAACATTGTTTTATTTATGGAGCATTATTATTTAATAAATACTCATAATTTATTTTTGAGTAATTTTTTCATGTACATCTGTGCTGTATGTTAATAAAAGTGCCTGTGTGACATCTGGGAAACAGCTTTGACTAAGAACTCTCATTTTGTTCTTACTTTATGGCTTTAAAAAAATATCGAGATATATATTGTATATCGCCATCCAGTTAAAAAATATCGAGATATGAATTTTGGGTCATATCGCCCAGTCCTATTTCAGACAATGTTATAAATGGATAAAAATGACACAAGCCTTACCCTTTCATAAGACAGTTGAAATTTAGCTAAGGTGCCTTATAAAGTTTCTCTGAACTTAAAGACATTTCTACATAATGTGTTAGTCCAGTTGTGGCAAACTCAGCTGACTGGACATGGTTTAAAAAGCAATATGACAGTCTATGTAACATCTCCCAGATGACTGCACAGAACAGCATAAAGAACCACACCCAAACTTTGTGAAAGACACATGAAAGCTAGTTTAGTTTCATTGTCTTATGCATCATAAAGATACCTCAAGCACTCTGTTCTCTATCAAAAAAACTATTTCTGCTTGTGGCTGGAAGGAGGCATGACGCGACCACGATTTTGGTAACATTTGACTTTATTTTGGTTGCTGCACCCTAGCTGCCAGCGACACAAATCCATAACAACAACCCAGTTCAGTCTTTTAACCCGGAGAGGTGTCATTGTGGATGCCCTGCAGGTATGTTTTCCAAACCTGCAGTGGCACCACTGACCATGCCCTGCCACATACCCCCATCACCCAACTGATGCTGGGGAGCCATCTGGCTAAACCTACTCCCCTACAGCAAATGGGAGAGGGAATCAGACCGAACAGTCGGCACCCCCGGGCCCGGGCCCAGAGACGGTGAGTTCAGCTAGCTAGCCGCTCCCACCCGAGGAGTGGGGTTGAGTGCAACGGCAGGCTGCGTCTTGGCTGATTGCACCCTGCGGCCGGTGCGGGTGCCTGAGCAGTTTGGACCTCTGCCACCACCATTTGGGCCACCAAGGCTCAGCCAGAGCTACAGCAGGGAGATGGAGCACCCCCAGAACCCCAAGCCCACCCTGGACCCACCCAGGGGCAGCCAGGCCACCAGGGCAGTAACCTACATCTGCTAGCACAGACCATCCGCCAACCCTCCTGTACACAGCCACTAGGAAAACACCACCCAAGATCCACTACAGCCCCAACCAGGTCATGAGCCCCCCAGGAAAACCCCAGACACTCCAACCTCTAACCCCAAACCAACCACAATATCAAAGGAAGGAAAAAAACACAATTGTTGAATTGTATTAATTGCAGACTGGGATTTCTAATCACTGTCACATGCAGGGCAAATATGTGCGATGTCTGAGACCAGAAGTTTTGGTCTAAGCTGACTGAGCTGAACAATTTTCATCAAAAACACACAAATCGTGGAGGACTGTGTCTAACAAGAGATCAGATCATTAGTCACTGTAACCTGTGAATAAATAAGGCTGTTGAAATAAAACCTCTACAGGGCAAAGGTGCGTTAGATAGCAGGCGCACTTATGAGTTTATGAATCTGGGTGTGGCTTCTTTTTAGCAGCAGTTCAACATTAAGGCTGTTTAGAAGCAGCTTTTTTCATATAAAACTACATATAGAAATATCACAAGCTTACCTTTGCTTTCCAGACTCTTCAAACTCTCAAATTCGCCATTATGAACTGCACACTACTGGGTGGATGTTTGGATTGGGCTGATGCAATACAGTCCACTTCCTTGTTTCTGTACCTCTGTATGAGCCTGTGGAAGTAAAAAAGAAAAAGAAAAAAGAAAAACGAAGTTCATGCTAGAAAAAGATCCCCACCAGCAGATGTAACAATATAAAAGAACTGCTGTCAGCCTAACAGGTAAATTACAGTAAGGTAACTTTGAAGGAGACATTTTGTGCAGGAGCTGTGTGGGTTGTAGCGTCAGGGTCAAACGACCCTGTAGACATGCCTGTCTGCACAGAAGAATAATCAGACATGAGAGAAAGATCCAAAAAGCACTTCCTGTCTGAGCCAGCTGCTCACTGTGGACCACTGAGCTAACCATTCAATCTAATGCATTATTTCTATGTGCGCAGCGATGTTCCCGTTGAAGGGAAGGAAGGCTGGATTCAGAAAAAATGATCTCCTCTGTATCCGGTTGTTCCCGTTAATGTTTAACCAGGTTGCCTCTGACAGGTGACAGTTCACCGACCCATAAAGCAGCACAGCGGGCCTCAGATCCATCTGTAGGACGTGTGCAGATCCACAAAAACTGAACCAAACTACAGTGACTGACTCAATAACCTGCAGCGTCTACAACCTTCATCCCTCCAGCTCAGTGTACTGACAGGTCTGCCGGCAGCACAGCGCCCTCTTGTGTCTCCTGTCTGTATTACAGTATAATACTGTGTATGTGGAAACTGACAAGTTAAATGCAGGGAATAAATGATTGAGCCAAAAAACATCCAGGAGTTCTATTTATTGGAAGCTTGTGTATTAGTTTCAACTTCAATAAAAATAATCAAACGGAAATATATAAATAATTACAAATTTAAATAAGTAAAAACATGATGGAATCGAGTTTATTGCAAAAAGTGCACACTTGATCACAGGCCATGCTCTGAAGCCGCATCAGTGCCAGTTTCTATCCTTATGTGGAGTCGGTGCTGTTCTCGGAGCCGGTTCTTTGGTGACGTCAGTGAGCAGCTGACTTTATTTCTCAGCCACAGTTAGGTGATGATGCTCAGTGTTGATGCTGCGAGCTGAAGACGAGCGTCGTGTCCAATAAAGACTCAAACTCCCCAAAATAAGTGTTAGAAACAGAGAAGACAAACTTTTAGCTACTTTTACATGGAAGCTAAATCTTTTTTGCCTCGAACCTCATGTCTACGTGCATGTGATCATCACAGATTTGTGCTTCACAGTAAGCCGAGCTCTTTGCACAGATACGGATCGTTGGCGTAAAAGACGGCGATCATTTTTGAACTTGCTTCAGCTCCTTTCTTTCGCACCATGTCGATCAGGTCTCGAGCTTTCTCGTCTCTCGGTTTGGCTCTGGCCGCTTCGCCCTCAGCATCAGTTAGCACGGTGACGTGCTGCAGCTCGTCCAGCAGCTTGTTCAGAACCGGATTCGACACTTTATCGATGAAGTTTGTGCGAGCGAGTCGCAGCTTCTCTGCTGAGGCGCTGTTCCCCATCTGAAGAGGACTTCCACCTGGAGAGTCAGCCGAGGATGAAGCTGAAAAAATATGTTCAGCAGCACAGTGAGCACGTTTCAGAGCAACATTTCTACAAATCAGATCAGTGAATCGGACCAGGACTGCAGGTTGGATCTCTGTCAGGTTTCAGTTTGTGCTGAGTTAAGGCTCACCGGGCAGACGAAGGTCGTGCTCCCACACTCGTGTCTCCTCGGGATCTTGCACCATCAGCATCACTTCCTCTGCGTTCGTTGTCAGGATGATCTCAAAGGTCGGGTGGTAATTTGGTCCGTAATTTTCAAAAAACTCTGCACGCTGAAGCGAAATGGAAACGCACAATTTAAAACAGCTTTGTGGACAAAGTGTCTGCTGACACTCAGCGACTGATACTCACTGCAGGCTGTATTTTAAAGTCGTGCGGGGCGCTGCTCAGACTGTACTTTTGACCTTTGTGGAAATAACAGAAGGACGGCGCTTCGATGTACTCTGAAGCAGCGTGCTGCACTTTCACCTTCAGAGACATCACAACATTTTCTTAGTGCATGAGTAGTTTCAGAGCTTCAAAGCAAACAGATACAGATACAATCAGAGGATTTATTCATGCAGAAGCCATTTAATGATTTCATGATGAAGTCATACGTCGTGCAGAGGGACGTTTCCTGGGAGCAGCATCACACTGAGGATGGGGCGTGGCCTGTTTCTCAGGAAGAGCAGGACTTGGCCACGAACGGGTTTCGTCATGTAATTGAAAAACCGCTCAACGAGATCCCAGACGAGGCCAAAGGCGGAGAGGTGAGGGACGTCCACGACCACGTGAGTCTCAGTGATCTCCAGAGGCTGTATGATGCTCATGCCATCATCCGTGATGTGGACCACAGAGATGCTGTCAGAGACCAGTGCTGGGAAAACACACAGCTTCGTTCACTGCAACAGCCTCCAGAAACTTTCCATGGAAAGCAAATCAGCGCATTTTCTGCAGGTTTAATTCTCCTTCAGGTGGTTCAGTGGCGTCCTTACCCGGCTCAGGCTCACAGTGTAGGAGGTGCAGCTGACGTATAGAGTCCTGAGGACACTCGATGCCGAACAACGGGCCTCCGGCCACTTTGTGCGCTGGTTGGAGGACCAGAGGATCCCAGATCAGAGTCTTGTAGGTGACCTCACTCTCACGAGTCACATCAAAGACCAGACCAGTCAAAGAACACTGGAACAACCCTGGACCGGGAAACAGGAACCTGAACGACACAGAACGGTTCAATACGGAGCTCAATGCTGTAGCTGTTAAATTCAGTCTAATTTCTGTTTGTATAGCTATTCGAAGTAAAAACCCTACAATCTTAGTGACAGAACTGAAATTATAAAATAATGCTCTTGGTGATCATGAGAAGAAATAACTTTTAACAGGAAAGGCCGCTGACAGAAGCAGCTCAGGGAGGTGCAGCTACCCATGTGACTGGGTGGAGATCAGACAAGGTTGGGTGTGGTCATGGTGGTGACTAAATGTCTTCCTATTAGTTATTATTAACCCTTGTATGGTGTTCGGGTCTGTGAGACCCGTTTTCAGTTTTTTTCAAAAGAAAAATTAAACAATTAATTATTTTTTCAACCTGAAATTCATTGGCTTTGGCTTATTTTCTGTGAAGAACATAAATCCGAACTAATTTTCAATGACCTCATACTGTACCTCCCCCCACGCATTTACATTACATACAAGGTGCTTGGGTCCACTGGACCCAGGTCTAATAAAGGTGTTGAAAGTGTAGGTCCTGTGTTCCCACACTCTGTCTTCCTCCTTTCTGGTGCTGCTGATAGTGTTTTCTTCCCCTCCTGCTCTCGCACAAAGTTGCAACATTGTTGTCTGCTCTTACATCTCACACATTTTACCCTCTTTCTTGAGGTATCCAAATTTTATTTTCTCATACCCTGTCCCACCTGCAAATTAGGGGCATAATACTATAAATAAGACTTTGCCAGTGTGGTTCTTAATCACAACTGATCAAGATGGCAAAAGATTATCTGCTGCGAGGGCCATCCAATTGATTTTGGAAGAGAGAGGAGCTTCGGATGATGTTGACAAAGAGGTTTCAGAATATTTCACATTTCTGAAAATTCAGAGTCTGACCATGACTTTGAAGAAGAGGATGAGGTTGAGCACCATTTAGTAACAAAACGAAGACGAGCACCCCATCTGCTGCCAGCTCCAGGACCAGAACAAGCCCACCAGACAGCAAGTGAAGAAATATGGATGTCAATAACTGGTGAAATTGGTCTTCTTGCCTAAGAAATGAGCCACCCTGCAGAGCTGTTACTGTGATAAGCCAGGGCCAACACGGCTGAAATTACTCATGTGCAGGACATCAAGTCTTCATTTGAGCTTTTCATCCCAGATTCCATCCAGAAAATTATTCTGGATTGCAGGAAGGTGTTTTTTTGGAGAGAGGTGGAAGGAGATGGACCAAATTCATCTTATCCTTGCAGGAGTTTTCAGGTCCAAAGGGGAATCCACAGAATCCCTGTGGGATGCAGAAACCGACAAGAACTTTTCCGTGCATCAGTGTCTCTGGAAAACTTCCACAAAATTTCCAGGATTATCCGTTTTGATAACAGAGACGACAGACCAGCTCGACGGCAGAGAGACAAGCTAGCTGCCATCAGGACAGTGTGGGATAAGTGTGTGCACCACCTCCCCCTGTTTTACAACCCTGGGCCTAATATCACCATTGATGAGCAGCTGATCCCATTTAGTTGTGAAACATATTGCTTCACGTGTAAATGTGTTGTGTCTTTCCACTCACTCCACTTGATTATAACTGATTGTTTTATAACATTTGATAAAAAAAAAAAAAAAAAAACGAGAAGCACATTAATTCATAAATAAGATCTAACAAAGGTAAAGGGAAAAAATTAACCATGTTTGCTGTTCATATGTCTTGTAATTGGGATGAAGTAAACATCTGTTGAGTAATTTAACATAAAATTGTTTGATAGTGTTAATTTGGAAAGCCAAAACTCTAGCGGGTCCACCAGACCCATGAACACTGGCTGAGTAACAAAAATATGAACACCACACACGGGTTAACCTGGGAATAAGAGGACATTTCCAGATAACAGGGATTGAAAACTGCCAGCGTTAAACAACAAACACAGAAGAACGCAGGAGGAACTTTCAGCTGTGTGATCAGAACAGCATGTAAGTGTGTGGTCAGGACAAACATGAGAGTGAATGCTATATAAATTCACTTAATGCATACAACAAGCAAACCGGCGTCTTTACTATGAGTAGATACACCTGCCACCACATGGATGAGATGATGAACTTCTACTGTGCAGCAACATTAACTAGTGTTTCCTGTTTCAGCTGTTCATCAGCTCTTTGAGGGCGGGGTCGGGATACTGTTAGTAAGACACTGGTAAACCATGAAGCATAAATAAATATAAAATCATACATTTTCACTACAGGTCTGGTGGGAAGGTAAAGCTCTGAAAATATTTAATAAGCACTGAAAGCAAGACTGAACCTTTTGCAACTGAGGGCACGTTGACAGGGTCTACAGTGAGTCTGAACACACTTTAAGACCAGCACAATCTGACCATCACACATTTTGTTAATGCTTTTCTTTGACTGCGCTCTGTATCCAAGTTTAAAGTGTAGAGTGGGCACATCGAGGCTTGCGTGTCGTACCTGTATGAAATGCCTGTTCTTCCTTTGCTCATCTCAGGTGTGAAGCTTGAACGAGTCTAAAAATCCAGAGAAGGCAAGTAAAATATTTTCTCCAGTCACACAAACTTGTGACACCATGAGAGCACCGAGAATACTCACAGTTTCCATCTTCACCACCCTGCACAGGGTCAAAGAGGATCCTAAACGAACCGTGAATGCTGGGTAGAGAGGCTCGCTGAACGTGGTGTGGAAGGTATGAATGAGAGTTTTTGTGTCGTCAGACACCAAGTAGAAGGACAGAGTGCCGGCTGGCCAGTCCAGAAACAGTCCCAGTCTCTTTGGAGTGACCAGGAAGGCTTGGATGTCAACGTGAGGGACCCGTATAAAGGTTTCCTTAAGGTTGTGTCGGAAGGAGTAACCCTTCACCGAGGTGATGCTGAAACACCAGCTTCTGTCACTACAGTCAATTTCTATGTCCCAGCGTCCCTTCCTCGGCAGGCTCTTATATGCAACACCAATATTCACAAACGCTTCCCAGTCCACCTCCCAGTAGCAGCGCCCAGTCAGAGCCTCTCGACACAGCACCTGACTGGTTTGGTCAAATCTCTCTGGATGATCAGGATACGACTGCTGTTCATGAGTGTAGCTCACGCTCTTGTTGCACTGAGACAGAAGCAGCTGTTTATTCACAGTGTTGGGGTCGAATGTGAGATCACAGGCATCTGTGAAAGAGATGCAGTGAGTTAAGCTTCAGCTCAGTCGATGTTACAGAGAAACTCAGTGACACTTACACTTGTTCAGAAGCTGTGGGTCGACCCAGTGCTCTTCATTGTGGTCCACACTGAGGCAGAAGAGCAGAAAGGTCTCAGCTTTGGAGCAAATAAAGAGACGTGAACTTTAAAGCATGAACGTGTGATGTGAATGTAAACAGAAAATCTTTGGAACATGATCACATGTTTTAAAATGTTTCACATAAAGTAAATCTCAGCCTGGTCTGCTGACGGGGACACCAGGACCTGCTACAATCTCCTCGCTCCTTACTACAGCCCAGGTTAACTGAGTGTAACGTCACTTAACTTCATAGCTGCAGAGGTAACAGCGACTGAAGTCAGGTCACATTAGACTGTTGTTCAACATGTTCACCTTAGTTTTGAACTTATCAGAGAAGCACTGAGACAAGCTGCTGGACCAAAGAGGACCCCCATATGGTGCTATGTTGGGGTCAAACTAGTCTCGAGTCCCTGACACAGAAATCAGTCCACAGACTGTTGAACACAACCAAGAGAGTCGATGAAGGTCTGCAATCAGCTGGTTAAGCAGTTCTAGTTATACAGCAACATTTTCTGGATAACCACCCACATATTAGAAAAAACGTAGTTTAGGGAGCTATATTTAACCTGTATATACTACACAGTGTACCGACTTGAGCGTTTCCAGTCTACATTCTGGGTCTTCCAGTCGCTCCAACAGCAGTTTCACTCCTGACACGCCTGGATGGTTGTAGCTCAGGTCCAGCTCTCTCAGGTGGGAGGGGTTGGACTTCAGAGCTGAGGCCAGAGAGACACAACCTTCCTCTGTGATCCCACAACATGACAGCCTGGAGAGAAAATGGCTCTTACTAAAGCAAAAGGCTTTGCTACTCTTCACCGTTACCACACATGTTGCAGAGTATTTGGACTCCATGGAGCTCGAGCTGCCATCAGTACCTCAGTGTTTCCAGGCTACAGTTTAAACTCCCAAGTCCAACAGACAGCAGCTGCACACCTAGATCCTTCAGGTCGTTGCGGCTGAGGTCAAGCTCTCTCAGCTGGGAGTTAGAGCTGAGAACGGAGGCAAACACCTGCCAGCAGTTATTTTTCAGGAAACAACCAGGCATGCTGCAAACAAAGCAAAACATCTGCACATCATAACCTGCAGAGAGAAAATGAAAGATGATCCTTGCACTAACTGCAGGTACCTGAACCGCTCCAGTTTACAGACTGGACCAATCAAAGCAGAAGGAATCACAGTCAGCAGGTGTGACTCATCACTGAAATCTCCACGGTTTCCAGTGGTCTTCACGTCATTTGTACAATATCCACTGTAATCCTCTGAATAACTGCATAAGCAGTTAATCAAATGAAGTGCCGTCAGAGGTGACGGGTCTGATCGAAGGACAGAAACCAGTCTGTGACAGTCGCTACAGTCTAGAGAGAACCCAGATAACCTGTGCGAAACACACACCAGTTAGAAATAATGTAGAGACGACTGTTTAGATGTACTGAGGTCATTTACCGTAGTTTAGTCCTCGTATGATACATGACTGTAGTTACATAAAGATTTCAGATTTTGAAAGAATTTCACTAAAGAAGTTTTAACCTGCAGAAACAGTTTAAACTGACCTCAGTGTCTCCAGTTTACAGTCAGGACCTTCCAGTCCAGCAAAGAGATCAGAAGGAAAACCATCACTGACGTTAGAAAAATACACCAGGCTGAGCTCTGTTAAACAAGAGTCCGCTGACTGAAGTACAGACAGGAGCACGTCGAAGCAGCCTTTGCTTAACTGATCGTTCATGAGTCTGCAGAATCAGAAGAAAAGCACAAATACTTATTCACCTACAGTTATTGGTTTATTTGCAAACAAATAAATAAATATAAAAATCCCAGATAATCATAGAAAGTACTACAATGTGGTTTTATGTGTATCACACCTGATGTATTTCTACTTTAAATCTAACAGAGCTTCCATCAGCATCATTTCTGTTTCACTCTTTGTGGTGTCACAAGTTTGCTTGAAAATTCCACAAATATTTGAAATAATTTTTCCAATGTTTTTGTTTCCTTTATTTTTGACACAGTCCTTGACTGTTTAATATTTACATAAAATGTTGATGGACTACAAATCAAACCAAGTTGGATGGTTCAAATCTTTGTACATGACATTAACTGTGAGATTTAATCAATAAAACGTTGAGCCAAACAGTAGAAGCAACACTGAGCAATAATGTGTTTCTGGAAGTTTGGAAATTTGTCAGAGAGAGTTGTTGCAAAACCAGCGAGATTGCATTTGACACAAAGCTAATGTGATCTCTTAGTTTTGGCTGTTTGATGGAAATAAATTCAAACATCCATCGTCTCTCTTCCAGGGGCACTGGGCGCTGGAGCCAATCCCAGCTGTCTTAGGGCAAGAGGCGGGGTGGACCCTGGACAGGTCGCCAGTCTGCCACAGGGCTACCACACAGAGAAAGACAACCATTCACACCAATTTAGATTTTTCCCATTAGTCCCACTAACTGCATGTCTTCAGACTGTGGGAGGAAGCCGGGGTACCCACAGAGAACCCACGCAAACACGCGGAGAACATGCAAACTCCACACAGAAAGACCCCTGATGGTGGAACTGAACTCAGGACAGTTTAAACATATTGAATATTTTATTTTAAATATCATGTGAACTACTTACACAGCCTTCTTGCAGTTCTTCATTTGCTGGATAAGTTTCTCAGTCCCAATAATCGGTGTGACAGAATTTGTCAGATCAAGTTCCTCAAGCACTTCCCCTGATATCTGCATCACGGTCGACAGTACTGCACAGTCGATGGTCGAGAGTCTCGCTCCTGAATCCAGATACATTCTGATGTCATCCTGAAATCTCTCTTCCTTCAGCTCAAACTTGCAGAGGAAAAGGTTCATGTACCTCTCTCGTGGGATGTCTTTGACATGGAAATTCTTCAGGTATACCTTCATCTCTTCGGTGGTGTCCGAGCTGCTCTTTACCTGTGGCAGTAAACCCTGCAGCACTGTTTGATTGGACTCCAGAGAAAATCCAAGGAAGAAACACAGAAACAGATCTAACTGACCTTTCTCACTTTGCAAGGCTTTATCCACAACCTTTTTCTGCAAATCCAGAAAGCTCAGATCTGTTGGGTCGACACCCAGGAAAGACTTCAAAGTACTGAAGTTGTCCGTCAGGATGCAGTGGTGCATGTAGAGAGCTGCAAGAAACTCCTGAAAGCTTAAATGCACAAAGCTGAACATCTTCTTCTTGTACAGGCCTCGTTCTTCCTTAAGAATCTCTGAGCAAAATCCACAAAACACTGATGCTTCACCAACATCGATGCCACTTTCTGTGAGGTCCTCTTCATAGAATATGATGTTTCCTTTCTGCAGCTGTTCAAATGCCAACTTGGACAAGTTCAAAAGCATGGCAGAGTTCTGGGCTTGAGACTTCTTCTGTTTGGACCTCTTCTTGGAGCTTTTCCCTGCATATTTCTGTCTCGTTCTTTGTGTTTGAATTAGTAAGTAATAAATGTACAGCTCTGTCATCGTTGTGATGCCGCGGCTCCTCTCATCACTCCATCCTTTCCTAAACACCTCAGCGATGATCCAGCAAAACACTGGGATATGGCCCATGAAATAGAAGCTGATCATTCCTCTAAGACGAGACAGGATTTCTTCTGCCTGATTAGCAGTGCTGAATCTCTTCCTAAAGTATGACTCTTTTTGTTGCTCAGTGAAACCTTGGACTTCTGTCATCTGGTCAATGTATTTAGAAGGTATCTGACTGGCAGCTGCAGGTCTGGATGTTACCCAGAGCAGAGCGCGAGGCAGCAGGTTGCCTTGGATGAGGTTGGTCAGCAGCACATCAACTGTTGATCTTCGATCTATTTCACTTATTCTCACAGCTCCATCAAAGTCCAGTGGAAATCTGCTTTCATCCAAACCATCAAAGATGAACAGCACTTGCTTGTGAACAAGCTGTTGTGTAGCTTCTAGGGGTTTTATTTCAGGGTAGAAGTGAAGGAGAAGCTGCAGCAGACTGTAGTCGGCATCTCTGAGCATGTTCAGCTCTCTAAAGGGGAGCACAAAGATGAAATCAATGTGCTGGTTAGATTTTCCTTCTGCCCAGCTTAGAGCAAAGTTTTGGACAGCAATCGTCTTTCCAATGCCAGCGATGCCTTTCGTCATCACTCTTTGGATTGTCTTGTCTCTTGTTGGTTGTTGTTGAATTCTTCCTGGTTTAAAGATATTTAAGAAATCGATCTGTTTATTGTTCACCTGTGAAAACGATGACTGCTGATGTGGGACATTAAAGTGATCAAGAATCTCATGTGGTCTGGAACCAAAATCCTGAACCTGCTGAGTGACGTAGAGTTTTGTGTAGACGCTGTTAAATCGAGACCGATTATCTGATGTGCCCTCATTTATCCAGGTAAACTTTTCCTGGAGATGCTCTTTAAGCTTTTGTTTAACACTCTCCACGACTTTATCCTGCTCCATGTTTGCAGCTCTGTCTCCTCCACACTTCTTTCTGCTCCTGTCTCCTCTTGTCCTTTTGTCTCTGGGATCCTAAAATGAATATAAAACCTGAAAGCAAGGAGAAAATAAAATGTACTTCCTGGAGCACCACAGTGTAATCGTATCAGTCAGCCTTTACTTCTTTAAACTTCTTTTCCCTCCATAGTTAGTTAAATGGTAAATGGCACACACTGGTGATGGCAGCTACATTGTAGCCACAGCCTCCCTGCGGCGCACTGACAGAGTTCTACATTCAACACATGCATGAGTGTCTCTGACACAATCCTGAGACTCACAGCGGTGCTACAAGGAACCATTTAGGTGACAAATACATCCTAGAATATTTCAGGAGGATGTAACAGTTGGCTTAATCATTAGACAAGAGGAGGAGTACAGAGGAGCAATTCAGGACTTTGTGGATTGGAGTGAATGCAGTCATCTCCATCATCACACTGCAACACAAAAGTGATGTTTGTGGGCAGAGATGGGCAGTAAAGAGTTACAAGTAATGAGTAACATTAGAGATTACTATTGCAAAAAGTAATTAGATTACTGTTACTCTCCTATAAGCACGCTGCGTTACTAAACTGTGATTTTGATTGTGAGAGTGTCTCATGACAATAATGTACAAGTGTGCGACGCCACTGGCAGCAACAGACGTGTGCAGATCAACAATGGATAATATGGTGAGAGAGTACGACCATGCAGCGTTTAAAGCCTGGAAGTAATCACATTACTTTAAGTTTTAGTCCATAAAAAGTGACAAAAACATCAGTGTCCGCTCTACACTCTGTGTGGGAAGAAAACTTCTTTCTACAGCGAAAATTTAACTTCCAATCTGAGCGAGCAGCGAGCACGCTGCCATGGGAATGTGACATTCACAGAGAAACCCCCGGATCCCCCCACTGACACGACCGCTGTGGACAAACCTCCACCCGCCCCACTCCTGATAAACAGGTGAAACTCTTCAAATAAGCCTTTCCTCATCTGCAGAGGAATGGCTTATTTGAAGAGTTTCAGTCAGGTTTCAGAGCTCAGCACAGCACAGAAACAGCTTTAGTGAAGGTTACAAATGATCTTCTTATGGCCTCTGACAGTGGACTCATCTCTGGTCTGGTGGCAGCAGATGGCCCCGCCCCTCCCTGAGCCTGGTTCTGCTGGAGGTTTCTTCCTGTTAAAAGGGAGTTTTTCCTTTTTTAATATTTAAAAATTTAATATTTATTTATTAAAAAAAAAAAAAAAAAAAAAAAAAAATGACAAAGGATGAACTGAAGCTCTGCCATCACGTAATGTCGCATACTGCTGTTTCTGATGTCATTTAGAAAAAAAAAGAAAAAAAAAAAAAAAAGGGAGTTTTTCCTTCCCACTGTCGCCAAAGTGCTGCTCATAGGGGGTCATATGATTGTTGGGTTTTTCTCTGTATGTGTTATTGTAGGGTCTACTTTACAATATAAAGCACCTTGAGCCGACTGTTGTTGTGATTTGGCGCTGTATAAAAAAAACTGAAGTGAATTGAAATGAAAAATAGATTTAAAAGCGACAGGACTCAGTGCTGCTGAATCTTTGATTTTATTTATTTATTGCTGTAAAGAGTGAGTGTAAACACAAAACATTTTATTTTATATGCAGGAAATAGGTTTAAATGTTCAACAATTTTTTCAAGTCAAAGACTGTTGCATGTCATTTATTTATTTGCATAAAATTTTGCATAAAATTAAAAGATTTAAACTAATGAAACAGTTTTAAAAAGAGGATTTCCATTTGATAAGATTTTATTTGATAGATTATGCATACAAATAGAATTGGGCTAAAAGGTCTGTTGCTTTACATATTCAGGTTGTGTATCATGCTTTTGAAAACGAAGTAACTAAGTAACTAATTACTTTAAAAAAAATAAGTAAAATAAGTAATCAGTAAAGTAACAGGATTTTTTTGGGAGAAGTAATCAGTAATTAGTAAGTAATTACTTTTTTCAAGTAACTCTGCCAACACTGGTCGTGGGCTTCAGAGGTGCAGGAGGAACCAAAGCAACACCAACAACTATCAGGTCAAAGTGTCATAAAAAAACCATCCATGGCTTCTGTTGTGACACTTGACATTTAGCTCACAGGCCTAATACAGTTTATCTGAATCATCTTAAAGACATTTCTACATGTGTTGGTCCACTTGTGGTGAATTCAATCAACTGAACGTGATTTAAGAAGCAATACGTCCGTTTATATAACGTCCCACAGCTGACAGCACCTACCACAGCAGAGAACCACAACTGACCAACAGCTGAAAGGACAAAAGAACAAAGATCCTGTAAAGAGAACTTTTCCCGCAGCTCTCAGACCTCCGACCGGGCTGAAGCTTCGGCCCCAAAGGAGCTTCAACACTAAACAAAGTGAAGCTTCCTGAGCGCATAGTGAATACAGATGAATCCATGTTTACATAAGTTAAACTGTTCTATTTGTGCTGCGTCATGAAAACTAATCACATCAGATTCTCTCGACACAAACAGACATTTAGAAATGGAGGACAAACTTATTGATGCAGCTGGAGGTGTTGAAGGCTTCACTTTTAGGCTAGAGCGAAGGAAAAGAAGCAAAGGGATGAAATCATCACTCATTATTCATTCTAACCACTGGTTGTAATTCTTCACTCTATCATTGAAATGATAGAGTGCTGCGGAGCTCAGAGACCCTGACTTAAACCCAGTCGAACATCCGAAACTAAACTTGGGTGCCTGTCAAAGGTCGCCATCAACCCTTCCAGAATCTACACAGCAGACACCTGCCTGCAGGCACACCTGCTTCATTTATATAGTACGGTACTGGTTTTATGTTGTCATTATGAGCTACTCACTTTGCACGCCTCCACAATGCACGCTCAAATGCATTTCACAGGGACCACAGCAGTGACCACTGATTGATTGATTTACTTATATATAAGGAAGCCCATTAGCTTCCACAATAGCGGCTGCTAGTCTTCTTGGGGCCCAAACCATCGAGTATAATCTAATAAAACACAATAAAGTAGATGCAAAAATGTCCACATAATTTGGCTCTTTCATCCTCAGTGAGGTTTTACACGTCACAACATTGGCCTCGTATAATATTTACAATATTTAATTCAAATTTGTGTTAAAAGGCTTTAAAATGTTCTTTAAAATAAGAACAGTAGCTAGTTCTCCAGCTACATAAGTTTATTGTGGGCGACCGTGGCTCAGGGGGTTGGGAAGCGTATCTGTAACCGGAAGGTCGCCGGTTCCTGGTCGTTGTGTCCTTGGGCAAGACACTTTACCCTACTTGCCTACTGGTGTTGGCCAGAGGGGCCGATGGCGCGATATGGCAGCCTCGCTTCTGTCAGTCTGCCCCAGGGCAGCTGTGGCTACAACTGTAGCTGCCTCCACCAGTGTGTGAATGTGAGAGTGAATGAATAGTGGCATTGTAAAGCGCTTTGGGTGCCTTGAAAAGCGCTATATAAATCCAATCTATTATTATTATACATTTTGATACCTGCAGATAATCCAGCCTGTGGCTCATTGCAGCAGGACCGAGAGGAGGAATTTAAACACTGTTACAATCACAGAGCTGCTGCTTTGTTATATGAGGACTTCTGTAATGTGGAACATACTTAGATTTGAGAGATACTGAGAAAACATGCTGAGTGACCGGATTGTGTCTGACCACACGCAGGAAATTACAAACTTCCTCTTGTGATAAAACTGATTTAAAAACAAAGCGTAAATCTTTAAAAAGCTCCTGGCTGACCTGAAATGACTTCCTGCCAGATTCAGTCTGTGACAGATCCACGTCACAACTTCAGGCCTTTTTAGATGCAAATGGTATCAATGAAAGGTTTCAGTCTGGTTTTAAACCTCGCCACAGCACAGAGACAGCCTTACTTAGAGTTTCATGCTTTTACTGACTGTGAAGCACTATGGTCAACATTGTTGTTTTAATCTGTGCTATATAAATACATTTTGATTTGATTTGATTTTGATTTGAGAGGCCACGAACATAAAAAGATTGTGTCCCCGTCACCAAACCAGAGGAAATGAAAAACCTTTTACTTCCCCAAACAGAGACTATGTTCACTCGTTTTTATCACAGACATGTTTGCAGGTTGTGTCCAATAACAGCTGAAACAGCAAAGATGACACAGCAGACACACGCATGAGTCTGTGTGCTGATTTCTCTTTAATACACTTAAAGCAGCTGTTTCCATATACAAATATAACAAGCTCACCTTTGCACTCAGCTGCTGTCACTCCACACCTCTCTCCCACACAGCACTCTCTGCTGTGATTGGGAGAGACTGCACAGCTGACCCAATCTATCCTACTTCCTTGTTTTTGCACCTCTGTAAGCGAGTGTGTGAAAAATAAAGTTTACATTTTTAAAAAAGCTGTAGAGCACAGAAGTGACGTCAAAGTTTGATTCTTATTAAAACGAGGAATGAGAATAGATATTACAACACACTCCTCAGTGTAAACGTACAAAGACTAAAGGTCTCCTGTAAATTCATAATAAAGTTTAATCTCTTTTTAACTTTTATCTTTATCTTTCTTTTTAACTTCAGTTTATTCAAATGTGGTTTTACATCTAGATTTATCTTTTTAAATTCTTTAAGCTCACTGAAATAACTTTGAACCGGATTAGTTTGAGTACTTATGATGATAAAACATGAAAAACGAAATAAAATATATGGAGTACAAAGTACAACAGTTGCATCACGTATATAATGAAACAGAAGCAGAAAGAAACATAAGACATATTTAGAGTAAAACAAACTGGGCAGTAGAAGAACTTTACTGTGCTCTGCTGGTTGGGCACAAGGTGGCGCTGTTGTCACTGTAGTTGAGAATGAAATGAATGAACACACACACACACACACACACACAGAGTCAGGAACTTATGTAGTTACGTCTGCACTCTCACACTCTCTTGAAAAGAAAAAGAGGTTACAAACTAAAGCAAGAGCAATAATAACAATAATAATAATAATAATAATATTAATGGATTGGATTTATATAGCGCTTTTCAAGACCCTCAAAGCGCTTTACAATGCCACTATTCATTCACTCTCACATTCACACACTGGTGGAGGCTACAGCTGTAGCCACAGCTGCCCTGGAGCAGACTGACAGAGGCGAGGCTGCCATATCGCGAGCAGACAAACACTTTAATGTTTTATGATGTTTTTATAACAATACACTAATGTCTGACCTTTGACAGCATTTTATACTAAAACGATGAATGTGTTATCTTTACACATGTGACTGGAGCAGAACTGGCTGAAATCTTTGGCTTCTATAAGCTGTAAAAACCTGATATTTTATATTCATGAATTTCACAGAATGCTCATGATGTCACTGAGACATTTCCAGGGGGAATTTTCAGCGTTCACTTTGCTGTTACATTGTTACACTGAAGCTGTTTTTAAATGCAGCCTCGGTGCAGACTGATTCATAAAAAGACTTTATAAAGAATTAGTCACTGATCATTGATTATAATGGAAGTTTATTGAAGGCGTATCGATCCCATAATACAACAGAATTCAAAAATACATGTTAAAAAAGAGGATTAAAAAAAAACACAATTTCCAAAATATATTTAAAGATTTGTAAGACATGAAGGCATCAAAAGCACCAGAGAAGCTAACACAGCTGTGTTTGCAGCAGCAGACAGGGTCAGTGGTACAAAATAGAAAATGTGTGAGTTACTCAGTTTGCCCTGAAAAGTTTTTATATTTATGTATTAGCACCAGAAACATAGTTTATAAAGATCAGCTAACTAAACGTCTCTTTATCCTGGTACAGCCTCTCAGTCTTACAGTAACGGTCACTGTTTACTTTATTATAGAGAACTTTACTAATAACACATTTTTAAACAATATTCCAAAAAGACTTTACAAATACAAACATCATCCAGATAAAGCAATAAAAATGTAGCCGAATAAAAATAGTATGACACAAAGAGACGCTCGTACACGTTATATACTGTTAGGTGACGGCTGTGTGTGGACAGGGATAGGACCCAAGATGCAGACTCCAGAGACAAACTTAAACCAAAACAGCTTTAATGCTGAACGCAAACATAACATAACAGGAAAAAACTCAAAATAAACTATCACCGGTGGACTGGCAAACACACAGCAAAATAAACGGTAGATCACGACACGGACACAAAGAAACACAGGGCTTAAATACACAGAGGGAGCAATCAGGGAATGAGTAACAGGAGGGAAACACAGCTGGGGCAAATCAGGCCTAACGAGACAAAGGAAGCAAAACCAGACACATTAACCTCAGACAAAGTAAAACAGGAAACAAAACACAGACTCACAGGCAGGCACTATAACAAAGGGAACAGAGACGTGGGACCAGGGCAGACACAGACACTGACTGGATGTGGGGATACAGCAGACAGGGGAGACAGCAACATGGAACACAGACAGAAAACCAGAACACTAAAACTCTAACCAAACCCCACCCAGAGGACCTTAACTAAGAAAAACCTGTAAAGCAAAGCTAGAATATAATGAAATAACAAAATCAAAGAACCAAAAACACAAAACACTGGGTCACCGACCCAGGAACCCTAACATATACACAAATAGAACGGCTTCATTCACTAACGAGTGTTAAAAAGTAAAGAAGTGCACATGCAAAACTATCAGATTATAAAGTGTGCACAGTCGCCATTTGTTATGTATGTAATTGTAATGTGATTTTAATTTGAACATGTGAACATAATACAACAACAAACAAAACAAAACACAAGCACAAAATAATCTTAATAAAAAACTGCAAAAAGTGCAGGCTTTAATTTATATTTAATCTCACCTAGGGCTGGGCGATATGACCCAAAATTCATATCTCGATATTTTTTAGCTGGATGGCGATATAAGATATATCTTGATATATTTTTTTAAAGCCATAAAGTAAGAACAAAAAGAGAGTTCTTAGTCAAAGCTGTGTCCCAGATGTCACACAGGCACTTTTATTAACATAGAGCAGATGTACATAAAATTTACTCAAAAATAAATTATGAGCATTTATTAAATAATAATGCTCCATAAATAAAAGAAAACAATGTTGTTTTTGTGCATAACAAAAAGCTCACAATTGTGCCGTCAAAATGTAAACTAAAAGACGCTGAGCATAATAACAAAGACAGATTTCACAGCTGCTCTGTTCCCAAGTTTTACTCTGTGACTGACAGCCTGGAGTTTGAAATCCGCTTCGCAACCACGTCTCTTGGTGCCATTTATGGTCCTTATACACAGTAGGGTACTATTACGTTGAAGCACAGTACGTATCACTCCGCGAGGCTCAGCCGTAATGCTCCGACAATCCATCAAGCGCTGCAGCACCGTAGCTTACCAAAGTCGTACTCAAACATTTGTGACAGATTGCTGAGCGCCGTGTTCCACATAAAATCGGTTCGCGGCCATCAAGTACAACCAGAATTCATACATAAGGCGCGCTGTCAACTTTTGAGAAAATGAAAGGATTTCAGTCCGTGCAGCCCCTCTGGGCTGCATGGCGTTAGCGTGGTTAGCTCGTTAGCGTGGTTAGCTAGCTAACACGTTGACGCCGTCCAGCGCCACGCACGGGGCGATGCGCAGTAACTCGTTAACGGAGATTTGCCGTGTCCGTCTTGTCGCTTCCTGCAGGTGAAGCGATGGGGGAGGAGGGGGAGTTGTCTTCAGTGAAGGAGAGGCGAGGCCGAGTAACGTTGCGTAAAGACGAAAGTGGACGAAAGAGAGGCAAACTTGCGGCTCCACAAGTATAATTATAACGTAACATAGACTATATCGATATAAACGATATTGTCACATCTTATATCTCGTATAAAAATATATCGATATGTTTTAAAAACTCGATATATCGCCCAGCTCTAATCTCACCCTTTTTCGACTGTTTAGTGATCATCACTTTTCTTCCTGTTTTTGTCGTATGCTTTCAGAAATTTTCCCTTACAACTTGTTGCCTGGATTTAGTTTTGAAACCCCAGTAACAGATCAGCAGATATACATTACACATTTACAAACACACACAAATGTAAATAGTGGGTGAGAGCGCCTGGTTAAAGCTGGGACAGTGCTTCAGTTCATTACTCAGCCACAGCTTCACTCCATATAAAGAGATGCAATAACGTTTTAGTGTCGTATGGACACGAGGATGTTTTAAATTTAACCCAATTCCCCAAAGCTGGATCCCCCATGATCTCTGTATGCAGTATCACAGATGAACCTTATGACCCCTTTTGGAATATGAATCATATCAGTTTTGCTTCGATTGAAGATTTTCTGTATAGTTTGAGAGGCAGGTTTCAAATAATTGCTCTGTCTGAAACATGGTTAGATGAGAATAGGGGTTGTAATTTCTGTATTGAAGGGTACGATTAGAACTAAGAAGAAGGCAGGAGGGGTGGCACTTTTTGTTAATTGTGATTTGAAATGTAAAAAAGTTGAATGTATATCTGTGGCTATAGACGATTTAATGGAATCTGTGACAGTGGAATTGGATATAGAAAGAAGAAGTAATATAATTGTAACGTGCATATATAGGAAACCGGGGTCACAGATTGAGCTATTTACAGAGGCAGTAGAAGACTTATTGAGTAAGGCTAAGGGAAATAAGACTGTATGTTTGTGTGGTGATTACAATATTGATCTTTGTAAAGAGGCAAATGATAAGGCTTCGTCAGATTTTTTTGAATTATTATTTGGTAAAGGGTTTTATCCTTTAATTATAAAGCCAAGTAGAATAACGGATAAATCAGAAACACTAATTGATCATATTTTCATTAATAGTTTGGAGAGTAATATTATGAGTGACCTCATCATAAATGATATAAGCGATCATCTACCAGTCTTTTTTACTTTTGATTTAAATATGAAAAGAAAGGAAGAAGTTGGTTTCGTGAAGGTTAAGAAATAACGAGGCAATTAACAAGTTTAGACAAGATCTCATGGAAGTGGACTGGAAGGAGGTTTATGTTAATGAGGTCAACGTTGCATATGGAGCTTTTTTAAATACTTACTTGGCCTTGTATGATAAACATTGTCCATTGGTATCATTTAAGTATAAGAAAAAGAATAAGAATTTGAAACCTTGGATAACTAAGGGTCTTGCAAATGCGTGTAAAAAGAAGAATAATTTATATAGGGATTATATAACACAGGGAATTAAGAATGCGGAAATGAAATCTAAAGTTTATAAAAATAAGTTGGTATTAATATTGAGGAAAGCCAAGAAAG